TCGTTAAAATTAATTGGTTTCCTTTATATTTGCTACTAAAATACAATTTTATATAGATAATTTCTGTTTAATCGAAAAAAAAATTATAGGTTTAGATATTCGAAACTGCCATACTCACCTATTTTTCTATGTGTTTATATATAATGGCATATACACGTTTTGTAGATATATGTTCACCTTTTTTGGTTTTGTCAAAATCTCTCTATGCACCCGTAAATACACAGACGTGAAGCCACCGCTCAATAACATGGTAGCTGTCGCCAAGTTTATCTGTTCCCAACTCTCCAGTCCCAAATGAAATTTACAGAATACAAATCACAAGAAGTTTGAGTATTGTTTACAACAATCCTTTTATAATCCATTTAATTACATGGTTTTAGTTATTTTTCATAGTATATATATGGTTTGTTTGAGTTTTAAAATTTTGTTCCAAGAAATATTTAGATGTAGCAATCATCCCTTTTTTAGAGCCATGTCTTTCTATTTTTATCTACTTTTTTGTTTTTTATGTGATATTATATGCATGTTTCTTCATTTTCCGCGATGGAATTATGTCTTCTGGTTTCTTGAAAAAATGACTGACTTATTATAGAAATCTGGTGTATTGTTAAAAATGAGCGTTTTGCATGTGTGTCGTGTCCCTTTTTCCTCCATATGCCTCCTTTTTTTTAATCATAAAAAAGAAATTAAAGTTGTCAAATGAAAAAGCAAATATATATATATATATATATATATGTAGATATATTGATTACATATTTCAAATGAGAGATACAATATCGATCTGATTGCACAAATAATATTTACTTGGTTTTGAAGATTATTGTTATAATTTTTAAAAATTACAACAATAAAATGATTATAAATACAAAATAATATAAAATATTTTAACAAATATTTAAGATATTCAAATACCATATATACATATATGTATGCATGTTTTAATATATTTGGTATAATTTAGTTCCATGTAAACAAAGTTTGATATAATTTATGCACACATAAAACAGTAAATAGTAAAATTTAATAATATTCAATTAATTAAAATATTTTGGTACATTAAATCAAAATTGATGTTTGCTATATGAACTTCTATTAGAGAAAAAAAGTCAAATTTAAATATTATACCTTATGGATGAATAGTTTTGATTTCATATTTTTATTTCTATTTATATTTTATTTTAAAAAATTATATTTACATTATATCTAATCCCTAAATATTACATTTTAAAAAAACCTCTAAATTGTTACAAATAAATAAGAGACAAAATAAACTATAAAAATAAATGTTTCATTTAAAAAATAACAAATAATCCATATAACAAATAAATACAATTTTATACTATATAACAAATAATGTGAATTTGATAAATTGTCATAGAAAGTAACTAAATTATATATATATATATATATTTAAAAATGAAATAAAAACACCGTTCATGATTTAAAACGTTATATTCATACCTTAAAAAAAATTTATTGAATCCAAGAATGGTTGTACAACAAAAAAGGTCCCGATCATTTGAGAAAGTACATTTATATGCAATTAGGTTTTGTTTTTTTTAATGGTTTGTATTTACGCTGAGAAAAACAACTTTTATCAAGGTTATTCAATTATTAGTTGAATTTTCAGTTATTATTTGTTTCATGGAAGTTGTTTCGCATTGGAACTTTGATGAATTTTTTTGCTATAATTTTCAGGAAGTGAGATTGCTATAATTGTGTGTTAAAGAGAGAATATATCTGGCAACGAGATCGTTTGACAACATACAAACCTTAGAGAGGATGGAAAAAATGAGATCGTCGGGTCCTCTACGGAGCTCCGGGTTCGACGCCGAGACCGAATCGATGACGACAATTCTCAATTTTCTCCTACTACGCGAATCACACTTGTATGGATCGGCCACTGAGAATTCTCAATCTTTGGTTTGAGGAATGGATTTGAGTTCCGAAGTCAAAGAACAATGATGATACTCAAAGAGAAGAAGTAGCGGACACCATTGTTGTTGCTTCGGAGAGAGAGGAAGACTTGATGGTCGCACATCGGACTTGGAAATCCGGGATGGACCCATCACAATATGCAAGCGGATTGGGAGATCACGCATAGATAGATATTCCCCACTCGCATTATCTCTCCTCAGTAAGGATTTGAAAAATGAAAAAATTTCACAATATGCAAGCGGATTGTTGTTGCAAAGAAGAAGACATGGCGGCGATGGGAGAGATGGAGCGCTGGCAGGGGAGGCGGAGAAGGGATGGAGAGTGTTTGATTGCCGAGAAAATAAGGGGAAATGTGGAGGAAAATAGGGGACGAGTTCTCGCGCAAAGCATTTTTATCATCGTCATTATCGAACTTGCTCCGGCAACTAACCGTATAACGCTGCACAACGTCAGCGTCGGGCTCCAGTTCAAGCAAATGCATCATAAGTATCTTTCACGATCATTATTTTCAACTCAAAATGTTAAAGAAAACATTTCTTTCAAAACTATATATGGACCGATCTTTTAGAAGAGTCCAACAGGAATCAATGGTTCGATGATGGCTCTATAAATAGGCAACGCATTGGTTGCTACAAAGATGATCTCCATGAAGACCACATTAACTCTTTTGTAATCGGTTCAACTCTATCATATATCTATTGTGGAGATGAACGAATATTCGGATTTGTTGAAAAAGATATTTTTTGGAGAATTTTCCGGTGTAAAGATAGTAGAAGAATGATTTAGAGAGTGGTTCGGGAGAATAATGACCGAAGGGCTTAAGTAGAATAATTTCCAACGGACATCCGTTAGAAGTCCGTTGGAAACATTCGACCATTACCCATTCCAACGAATATCCGTTGGAATTCTCCGACTGTTATCTTTTTGAATGGATCTCCCTTGGAATAATCCAACTGTTATCAAACGTTCGAATTTTTCAAACTGTTATCCGTTGGAAGATTTTAATTCAAAACTCCAACGGTTATCCCTTGGAAAATAAACAAATATGTAACGAATATCCGTTGGAATTTTTGCCCGTAAATTCCAATGGATATCCGTCGGAAACTACGTAGAAAATTTCCAACGTTACGTATCCGTTGATATGATGTTAAAAATTCCAACAGATTTCTAGCGACAATATCCGTTTAAGGTCCGCTGGAATTACGTTGGAAATCCATTGGAAATATACCAACGGATATCCGTTAGAAATCCATTGAAATTAATCCAACGAACACATCCGTTGGAAAAATCTGTTGAAAAATCATAGTTTTTGTAGTGATTTATATAATTATCGATTTTGAGGTGGTCAGGGCTAATCAACAATTTAGACTAACCGATTTCAATTTGTAATTACGATTTACAGAACGAACACATATTTTAGATGCTTGCGACACATCTATCTAGATGTCTAAATAGTTTTTTAGGTTTTGAGATTATAGTGAGTTAATTGCTTTGGCTAACAAAAATGTCGAGTTTCTAGGTGAAACAATACATTTCTTTACTCATGTTTTCACCCTCAATATTATTCTCGATATTTATATTTAATTTTTTACCCACTTATATTCAATGATACTAAGATTTTAGTATTCTATGTTCTAAATGAAGACGTTATTGGTCGAATTCGAAGCAACAAAGATATGCAGGAGGAAAAAGTTGTTGTTGATCTCCAAATGGTAAGGTATTAATAGGTCAAATAAAATATAGAATACCCGAATGAGAAATAATTTAATTAATATATATATGTATATCTAAATAGTGGCATATCTACGTTGAAGTATACGGGGACACTTGCTCCATTCAATCTATAAGAAAAAAATATTTCTATATAAATTATATAAAATTATAATAAAAATTATAAAAATGTCCACATAAAATTAAAGATGTCCACATCTAGCAAAACATTAGCCGAGCGCATATAGCAAATATATATATATATATATATTCTTTTACACAATAAATAATGATAATTTTAAAAATTCTTTAATATAATAAATAATAATGCTTTCATAATATTCTAATATTAACGATTATTTTTTGTATTAAAAAATAATTTATATTATTTCTTAATATTTATATCATCAAATTTTATACAAAAAATAATAAACCGCGCATCGCGCGGGTCTACCCTAGTCTTTTCCTAATATTTAGCAATGATTCTAAACCAAATAATTAAAAAAATTCGAAAAACTATTAAAAATACTTAGAAGATGATTTATAATTCTCTTTTTAATACAAAAAGGAATAATATTTGTAGTTTTGTGGTTACAACTATTCATATATAAAAAATAGATATTTAGATTTTTCTGACATATTATCTAAATTTGTATTATAATTATCTTGAATTTTTTTTTACAAAAACTGGATATTATTCTTACAAAACATTCTAGAAATTGGATCAATATTTAATTTTAGATTTGCAATGACCCAAAACTAAATCCAAAATAAAACTCTAGCCCAAAAAATCAAGTTTAATTTAATATCTTATTCTTGAATAAAAATAACCCTAATCTCTAAAGAATATTAAAATATTTCAAGTAACATTAAAGCAAAATTATAAATGGAAGACCAATAACAATGAAGATATCTAAACAAACATGATGATTGATCATAACCCACATTATATTTTGTTAGATTTTATGGATGAAAATTTCAAATGGTAGAATTCACTAATTATATCAGTTCTTCCTTTTTTAGTTTTCGATCGATATAGCAATTGGGTAATCAAAATCAACTAAGTTTGGATCTCATTGGTATTTTTTTCGATCCGAACCGTTTAAAATTCCCGAACGATATTAATTTTAGAGAAACGAATTTTTCAGAACCGATCCGAATTTTAAAAAAATCCAAAAAACTATTTTTTTTAAAAGATCTATTATTTTTAATAAAAATCGAAATCAAATCGAACTGAAACCGAAATTGAACCGAATATAATATAATAATCAATTGGTACCTATTTTTATAAAACCGATAAAACTGAATCGAATTATTCCCAACCTGAACCAAATACCGAAACACCAATCCTATGACAGGACGTGAAAATTCCACTTTTTCACTTATTGTATACAAAAAGTGCGTTACAATATGAGAGGATGCACATAATATTTAGGATGGACTGACATCTTTTACCTATGTACAAAGCCATAAGAGGAGGAAGAATATAAAATGATGATGAAGAATATTATTAAAAGTAAAACTATTATGATGTATGGAATTTTTTCATTTGATAACGCAGTCATGGATTTTTATTTTTATTTTGCTTCATCCTTTCTTGAACTATTATTTTGATGCCAATGGAAGCAATTGAGTTGCTTATGCTCCAAGGTACCCTTTCTTCTCCAAGTATCCTACGACTGTTTCAGCCATTTCCATCGGCAAATTCCCTGATGATTTGTGTTTCAGAGCAATCTAAACCCGGGAAAAAACACGAAAAGAGGCGAAAAAGACGGCCCGTTAGTTGCGAAAAGATGAACCCGAAAATCAACTTGCAATGGCATCACGCTAAAGATCTTGATTGAGAAATGAAGTTTAGAGTTCTCATAGCATTTAGCAAAACCATTCTCTACGATTTCAGACCCCATTTCCATTTCAATGTGCAGAATCCTATCGGTTTTTACCTCACAATTCAATGGCGGCTCGTAAGGATCGTCTATACCCGTAAATCCTGCAGATTGTTTTGCACAATTATGTCATTCGAGATCTCAAAAAGACAAGCTTTACTCAATCAGGACGAGTCTTTTTCCGTTAGAGCACGATACCTTTGATCTTTCCTGCACGGGCGAGCTTGTATAAACCCTTTGGATCCCTTGCCTCGCAAACTTCAAGCGGTACATCCATGAAAACCTAATTTTATCAACCCAAATCAGTTCAATCGCAGGCTATGTATGACCATGACAGTTCAATGGCATAGCCTAGGAGACAACCCTCCATCGAAATATATTCATGACTGAGTGAGGAGAAAGCAAAGACCTCGACAAAATCTCCGTCTGGTAATAAATTGCGACAAGCATCTCTGTCCCTTCTGTAGGGAGATATCAGGCTGGCAACACAGATGATTCCAGCATCTGCAAAAAGCTTGGCCACTTCCCCTGAACAAGAACACATTCATAAGAAGATGGGGTTCCATACACTAATGACAGAGGATAAAGCTACTCCAAAGAACAAATTCCAAGATTTTGAGCATTTTAAGATCACAAAAGCAAGAAATTGATTAGAAAGATTAGCTTACCAACTCTTCTAATGTTCTCTGCTCGGTCTTCGGCTTTAAAGCTCAGATCGCGGTTTAATCCGTGCCTTACGTTATCCCCGTCAAGGACATAACACAATTTGCCTTTTCGATACAAGATCTGGCTCAAAGCACAAGCCACCGTGCTCTTCCCTGCAATATGAATCAAATATCTTTCTTAGGGCACAAGTTTCTTCTCGCAAACACAACACTGAGCAAACACACACTTATGGGTTCTTTCGATTCAAATGGAGATTACATAGACGAAATCAGACCTGAACCACTGAGACCTGTGATCCAAATGACGCATCCTTTTTGGCCAAGCAATCTCTGTCGGTCGATTTTCTCAACCGGGCAATCATGCCACTTTATATTGGTCGAGTTTCCGACCGTAGATAAGGGACCATGATTTTTCCCTGATCCAACCAAATTCAGGAAACCATGTCATTCAGAAAGCTCAGAGAAAACAAAGAACACAAGGGTTTGTATTTGGAAATAGCAAAATGTTTCTGCAGATTATCTTTCGAGAGATGAGAAATAGACACGAATTTGCCATATCCACAAAGTTTTCAAGAGTCGTGAGAGAGTCATTATACGGAAGAAACACGATTAACCCAGATTCGTATCCAGAGCAAGATGAAAAGCGATTTTTTATAGCCAAAAGTTTTAAATCCCCACGCCCAGCTTCCCGAATTTTCTCGGAAACCAAACAAGAAGAAGAAATCCCAATTCCCCAGAAAGGACACAAGGAAAATCGTCCAATCCAGAAAACACGATATGCGTAGCAAAATCAATTCCGAACTTCCTTTCGGATCAAACCTAAACTTTCCAGATATCTTCCAATGATCCCAGATTTTCTCGGAAGCCAGCTAACATCAACGCAACAGGAAAGGAAAACGAAAGGATCAGGAGAAAGGAGAAGAAAATATGTTTAAAATACCCGCATGCCCGTTCACCAATTTCTCGTCGAGAAGAGATCCATTCGTGCAAAGGCTCCCCGTCTGCGAACCATCCATGGACGACGAAGAAACACGAACAACACCCACAGATCTCGGATTGCTCAACGAATTGCTGCCTGGAAATCCTCTCGGCGACGCAACCGAAAGCCCTAGAAGTGATTTGGCCCCTGCGGCGATCATAATAACCGATCAAACAAGAAAATCGGATTTAGTAGAAGAACAAGGAGAAAGAAGCGGCAAAACACGAAAGACGGGGCGGGAGATATTTTTTTTTTAATGTAAGGAGGAAAATGTGACCGTTAAAATGGAAATTTAATTTGACAGGTAAAAAAAATATAAAGGGAAGAAGGTATGGGTAGGTGAAGAAGGAGAGGGAGAGAGAGGTGGTTGGCCACGTTTTTGCAATTTCTCGCGTCACCACCTATCAAAACGGTGCCGTTTTTCTTTTCTTTTTTTATTTTAAAAATAATAATAATTAGAGTTTAATGTATTAATGGAGGCTTTACATCCAGGTTCAGAATTTTCCGAACTAAATAAAGCAAAAGTCTTGCAAATATGATATGACGAGGGTCAAAAAGATAATATATATATACACATATATATGTATGTATATCTTTTTTAGGCAATTTTGACATATATATATATGTGTGTGTATGTGTGTGTGAGTGACAATGGGCTTGATGTATTAATCCTGTATTTGCATCCAAATTCGTGAAACAATGACCCAAAAGAAAAGGAAAAATGTTGAAAAATCAGTCAAAGAGCATTTTTTGGTTGAATATAAAAAATAATTGGTTATAATGTTTTTAAATCGGATAATGTGAATTCTAAAATGAATGAAATAAAAGAAAGACGAATAAAATAAAATATTTTAAAATAAATATTTCATAGAAATCAAATTAAAAAAATCTACACCGAATCTATATATCAATATTTAATAAATATATTTCTAATTCTAGAAACATAAATCCAAAAATTATGAGCTAAACAAAAACAGATATATTCTCAACCTTTATAAGAAATTTCAATTAATTTCATAAAACAAATATAAGCTAAAAAGTTAATTTCATTTAAAAAAAATCAATTTCTTAGCTACACCTATATATATATAAAGAAATATATGCAAATTATTAGATTTTGCCAGGACCAAACTATTTGATTTGGTTTATTTTAATTTTATCCAAAGTATTGGACAAAAATTATACAACATTAGTTAATTTGAGGAAAAACTAAAAAAAATACCAAATTCGTCAGAATAAATAAAAATATACACGATTTTTTAGTTTGATAAATAAATGTACCAAATACCCAAATTTGTCAGAAAATATATCAACCTGTAAAATCGTTGATAATTTACTACATATCAGAACACATAACGGATTTCTTCCACATCACCATGTCAGGTCTCACAAAATAAAAACAAAAATGAATAACAATTTAACAAATAATACTAAAATTTAAAACATAGAAAGATAAATATATGCATATGTATATATATGTATGTGGATATATATACATGTGTATATGTGGACATATATGTATATAGACATATATATACATAACTGAAGTATCTATATACACCTATATATACATATACATATATTTTATTTTTATTTTTAATTTTTAGTTTTTTTATATGTGATATGTAACAAGGTATGAGTTTGGAGAAATCTGTGCTTGTATTGATCGGGAACGACTATACTTATACAACTCGAAAACAACCCAAGACCTAGAAAATCTCGGACGAATCAAGCAGAGGAAAAGAAAGAGATATACACAAGATATACATGATAATATATATGTCCGATATTCTCGGTAACACCCCCCTCAAGTTGGAGAATGTCGGGTAGACATGCCCAACTTGTCGAGAAACCACGTAAATTCCTTCTTGCCCAGCGCCTTGGTGAAGATATCCGCGAGTTGGTCATGAGTAGAAACATGGTGAGCAGTGATGTTGCCGTTGTTAAGGTGATGACGAATGTAATGACAATCGACTTCGATGTGTTTGGTACGTTCGTGAAACACGTCGTTCGAAGCGATATGTAGAGCCGCTTGACTATCGCAAAACAACAACACCGGGTCGTGATGTTCGACTGCGAAACAGCCGAGAAGACTCTTGATCCAGACGAGCTCCGAGGTAGTGACCCGCATGGCACGGTACTCGGACTCAGCGGAGGACAGAAACGGAACCGTCTGCTTTTTCGTCTTCCACGACACGGGAGACGAGCCGAGTTGAATGAACCAACCGCTTAAAGATTTCCGAGTGAGGGGACACCCAGCATAGTCCGCATCACACCAAGCACGTAACCGCAAATCCGAGTCGGCGCGAAACAGGACACCCTGTCCGGGGTCGTGCTTAAGATACCGAACCACGTGGATAGATGCAGTCCAATGATCTTGTCGCGGCTGCTGCATGAATTGCGACAAGATATGAACACAGTAAGAAAGCTCCGGACGTGTCACCGTGAGGTAGATGAGTCGACCCACCAAACGTCTATAAGACGAAGGATCGGGAAGAAGAGGACTATCCAGAGTGATAACCGATGATTCTGATCCAACGGAAAGAGAGCAGGTTTGCATCCGAGTAACCCAACTTCCGACAAAATATCGAGAGCGTACTTGCGTTGACACACATGAATCTCTGATGTTGCGAGCCACTTCCAAGCCCAAAAAATACCGCAATGAGCCGAGATCTTTCATGTGAAAACATGAACTCAAATATTGCTTAAATGCATGTAATGTCATAGGAGAGTTTCCGGAGATAATTAAGTCGTCGTCGTAGACAAGAACGCAAACCTGAACTTTCCCGTCTCGAAATGTGAACAGAGAATGATCGGATTGGGACTGAATGAACCCATATCCCTCTAATGCCGAACGGAGCTTGTCAAACCAACATCGAGGAGCTTGACGGAGGCCGTACAAGGACTTTCGTAGATGACATACCGTGCCGGCCCCATGGGAATCGAAACCCGGGGGAAGTCTCATATAGACCTCTTCACGTAAATCTCCATGTAAGAACGCGTTATGAACATCCATTTGGTGAATCTCCCATTTCCGAGCAGCGGCGACAGCCAAGAACGTCCGAACCGTGACCATTTTGGCGATGGGAGCGAATGTCTCACCATAGTCTAACTCGTCCACCTGTCGATTGCCAAGAACAACTAACCGTGCTTTGTACTGTTCTACCGTACCATCTGAGCGATATTTGAGCTTAAAGATCCATTGACAACCAATAGCTTTCTTTCCCGGGGGGAGCGAAGTAACATACCATGTCTGATTATTTTCCAAAGCAGAAATCTCCGAGTGCATGGCTTCTTTCCATTTAGGATTGCGTAGAGCATCCTTGTAAGAGCGGGGTTCGGTGTCCGCAGAAATCGCAGCGAGAAAAGCCCGATGAGGTACGGAAAACTCAGAATAATCCAGTGAATGAGCAATCGGGTAAGGACCACCAGCAACCGGGTACGGACCTGAAGAAAAAACAGAGCCAACGTCGCAAGGTTTGACGCAGACTGTATTGGTGACGTGATCTTTTAAACGAGTCGACGGAAATTTCTGACGTTTTCCGCGACCAAGATCGTCGGCAGGAAACAGAGTGTCAACCTCGGTGCCCCCCCTGACGGGCGAAGTCTGATCAGTCGAAACAATGACATCTGAGACAGTCGGTAGAGCTGGATCAGGGTCAGGTGCCATAGCCGAAACAGAACCCGGAGCTGAATCAGACACCGGGGTGGCAGAGGATAGGGACGAAATGAGAGGGAGATCATCATCGGGGCAAAGAAAAGGAGCCGAAACTGTCAGATCCGAAGGATGGGTCGGATTGTCCGGCAAATACGATGTAGCAAACGGGAATTGTCCTCGCAAAACACGACGTCCCGAGACACGAAGAACCGATGATTGTCGAGATCATAAAGTCGCCATCCTTTCTTACCCGATGGGTAGCCCACAAACACCGAACGAACACTACGAGGGGCAAATTTATCTCCCTTGGTATCCTTGTTATGAGCATAACAAAGACAACCAATCGAACGTAACTGTGAGTAATCGGGTTTGCGTCCATAAAGAACTTTGAAAGGGGTTCGACCGGATAGAACCGTCGATGGAGTGCGGTTAATCAGAAAACCGGCAGCCAAGATACAGTCGCCCCAGAATTCAATTGGAAATGCAGCTTGAAACATCAGTGCATGAGCAACGTTGAGAATATGACGGTGTTTGCGCTCTACTCTACCATTTTGTTGGGGAGTGTGAACGCACGAAGTTTCATGAGTGATTCCGCGAGATCGAAACTCGTCACGAAGGCACAAAAATTCGCTGCCATTGTCGGATCGAACAATACGAACTTTCTTCGAGAACTGGCGGTCGACCATAGCCAAGAAATCGAGAAAGACACGAGAGACATGATTCTTTTCCGAGAGAAGAAACAACAACACACCGCGAGAATAATCATCAACAATCGTTAGAAAATATCGAGCACCACAGAATGACGGTGTACGATACGGCCCCCACAAGTCGCAGTGAACGAAATCAAAAATATCCGATGTTTTATTTGAACTCAAAGAGAAAGAATCACGCGTTTGCTTGGCGCGCAAACAAATGTCACAAAAACCCAAAGAATCAACAGAACCATGACAAGTAATGCCCGAAATCTGCTCGAATACTTTAGACGAGGGATGCCCCAATCTCCGATGCTAAAGCTCAAACGTCAACTTGTCTCCGGAACGAACAGCAGCGACAATCTCAACGCCCCGAAAGTAATAGAGCCCATCCCGTAACTCACCCGCTCCAATCATCGTCTTCGTAACGAGGTCCTGGATGAAGCACAACTTGTCAGTGAACTGCACACTACAAGTCCGATCGGCGAGCAACTGAGATACGGAGATCAAATTAACGTGTAATCCATGCACAAAAAAAACATCAGACAGATGGAGAGCCGAAGAAAGACAAACTGTCCCGGACTGATCAACAATCGTGCGACGCCCATCCGGAAGCACGATATTAAAAGGAGCCATGGGAGAAACATTATGTAAAACGTCGATACAACCAGTCATATGATGAGAGGCCCCGGTATCAAGAATCCAAACAGCGGAAGAGAACGTACCCGAAGAGGTTTCTGTAGCACCAATCTTCCCGGCATTAAGAAGAGAAATTAACGTCTTCCATTGATCCTCACTTATGCCACTCGGCGACGGAGTGTCTGAGGGTAGTGGCATCGGACTAGACGACTGAGGGCCAGTCGGCGGAACAGAGCAAGTGGCATTAACACGGCCAGTGCCACGGCTGCGGGAGTTCAACGACTGACCACGCCCCCGATTGGAGCGATTCCGAGGACGATCGCCCCACCACTCCGGAAAACCCAAAATTTGGAAGCAGGAATCGGCGGTGTGTCCAGTTCTTCCACAGTTCGAACAGAGGACAGACTTGTCCTTGGCCAGAGGAACAGACCGAGGCTTGGAAGCTGCCTGAACCGAAAACGCCGAGATTTCAGTGGATTCAGAATGAGGGATCGACAGCCTCGAGGCTTCATCCTGAATCACCACCATGTAGGCTTCCTCAACTGTCGGAAGAGGGAGACGAGACAGGAGATTTGAACGAACAATACCGAATTTAGCTTCATCAAGACCAAGCAAAAATTCATACAACCGATCCTCTTGCCTCTGTGTCTCCAATTCAGCAGCAATATTGCAGGTGCACGCCCCACACTTGCACACTTTCAGAGTTCGAAGAATGCCCAAATCGTCCCACAGTTTAGTCAATTTACCGAAATACGACTCCACAGAGAGGCCTTGCTGTCGGCAATTGGCTAAATCGATGCGCAGACGCATGAGACGAAGTGCATTCGTCATGCCGAAACGACGCTTAAGATACTCCCATAAATCTGTCGCAAACTCTCGGTGAACAACATCGGAACGAAGACTCGGTTCAAGAGTGTTCTTGAGCCAAGACACAATCAGAGAATTATTAGTTTCCCAATCTTCGTAATCTGGAGAAGAGGGATCCGGTGGTGGAATCTTACCGTCCACAAACCCGAACTTCTTCCGTGATTTCAAGGCATGGCGAAAATTGATCGACCATTCCTCATAGTTCGGTCCTCGCAGCAATGGCTGAGACAGGACAAGACCGGGGTTGTCGCTGGGACTCAAATCGAAAGGAGAAATCGTCCTCCTCGGAGTCCCAGAGATCGAGTTCTTCGCGGCGGAAGACATCGCCGAATCAGTCGCAGCAGTGTTGTCGTGTGTAGTCGCCATCGGAGGAGGAGTAACAAAATCGAGATGAACTAAAAATTGTCGGGCTCTGATACCATAACAAGGTATGAGCTTGGAGAAATCTGTGTGTTGTATTGATCAGGAACCACTATACTTATACAACTCGAAAACAACCCAAGACCTAGAGAATCTCGGACGAATCAAGCAGAGGAAAGGAAAGAGATATACACAAGATATACATGATAATATATATGTCCGATATTCTCGGTAACAATATGGTGACTATATGGCTTAATATGTTTATATTTCTTTCACATTTTTATGATGTTAGGATGTGTGTAGGACATTGTCACCAATTTTTGCGAGTTAGTGTATTTTATCACACATTTGGCTATTTGGTTTATTTATTTATTAAATATTTTAATATTTTTAATAAATGTGTGCAATTTCTTTGGATTTTCCGTTGATTTTATAAAAAAGAAAATGAAAAAAATCTTTATTATCGTACGGCAGTAGACTTCGACTCGGTTAATTCTTATAAAAACTCCTAAAACCTTTGAACAAGTCTCTGAACAAATTGGTTAAGGAACATGACATGAAGAAATTGAACCTTGAACTCAAATCATTCAACAAGTTCGTCTTAAGGCATCAAACAAATACAAAATCTCATAATGATCACGAGTTGCAACATACCCCTTCACCCATCATCATCATGCAAAGACAGGAGCAACCTTTGAACAGTTTCTTCTCACTTGACCCAAAGGACCAGTCAAGACATGGAGGTTCGAGAGCCTCATCATGGAGATTGCGAAATCACGTCTAAACAACAACGGAGCCGAAGCATATGCCTTCACCCATATCGCGGTTTCTTCCCTCGCCGTCAGCTGCTGATCTGCAAAGAGCAGACCTCTGTTCCTAAGCAGCCTTCTGAAGTAGCGGGTTCCGAAGCTGCCACCTGCACTGTCATCCCCAAACGTCATCGAGATGATTTGATCTTGATCCGTCGTGTTCTTGGGGTAGGAAGGTGCTGAAGCCGTGTAAGGCGATGGCAACGGAGCCGGTGATGGGTTTTCGGGCTGGCATTTGGTTTTCAGCTCTTGTAGAAGCACTGGATCGAGTGAAGGATCTGGCTTTCCGGTTCCTGAGAAGTTGTAGAGCCGATTCTCGAAGAATTGGCAGTGAGTGATGCCAATGCTGTGTGCTCCTGCCATTATCAACAATCAAGATCATCATCAATCTACTCTTTTTTCACAAGACTTGACACCGACAAGCAAAGATGAGAGATATACCTAAGAGACTGACAGTTTCTCTCGCATCGAACCCTCTTGATGCGAAATTCGCAAGAATTTCAGAAAGATCGGCTTGTGGCGAAGGAATATCGTAAGTTGCCATCTCCCCGAATGCCACCAGACTGTCTTTCCTGCCAGTGTACAGCGGATAAAACGGCCCACCCATCTGAAAGTTCGAAGACAGCCGTTAACGTCACAGAGGCGAAACATACACGTACATTTTGCGTATCAGTTCAATGAATATAGCCAGCCATAGGCCTTACCAGAAGGACAGATTCTCTAGCGGCCAGCGCAAGAAGATCCGAGCAGGAAACGATTCCAGGGCACACGTCCTCTAACTCCTCCTTGATCGTGTCGATGACATCGAAACCTTTCAAAGACTGGTTCGGAGGTGAATCTTTCTCGGAATCAAAACTTTCATCTGGGTCTAGAAGGATCGATGCATCACATCCCTGCCCAGAAATTTTGGAACCATACTAATTTAATCGATAGACAAGCATGAAGAACAGATTGTTATGATCAGAAACTCGGAAATTTCCAAATCAAACTTAAAATTAATCCATAGACAAGCATGAAGCAGGAATACAATCAAACACCTCTACGACACAAAAAAATTCCCCAGATCCTGCAAATTTTCCAACCAAAATAGAAAAAACAGAGAACGACAGAGAGAAGAAGAAATAAGCCATGACATCTTTGACCTCGATGAAGCAATCGTGGAAGAGAAGACGAATCAGAGACGGAGCAACGCTGGGTCTCGCATTCTGGAGTTCCCCGACGGCTCTACGGATGATTCTCTCAGCAGAAGGGCAAGATTCTCTGTAGTAGTCGTACTGGAGAGAGAAGGATCGATCATCGGGGTCTTCAGAGATAGACATGTAAAAACCTGGAAACCCATCCTCCGGCGAGAATGATCGCCGGTGAGATCTGTTCGCCGTGGTAATATCCGGCGATTTGACAAAGAAACGGCGGAATCCGGCGATGCAACGGTCGACGTTGATGCCCCCGTAGATCGCGAGGTAGATGCTGAGAGCGATGATAAAAAAGGTGAGAGACGCGATCTTGTAGTCTCCGATGAACCTCATCTTCTCTCTCTCTGATTGTGATTTTCTTCTCTGAGCTTTGGAGCTTTGGAGTGGGTACTGAAATGGCTGAAAAGAAGCGGGAAATAGGTAGAGGAAATGACGATAATGCCCTGCGACTGAAATTGTTAATAGACGGTTTTATATGCCATGCGGCTATGTACGTTCCTCTCCAGAGAAGGTGGAATCTAGTGCTTCCGGAGTATAGTACAAACCCTGGTCTTCTAATTAATTTGCTTTTACGAATATATAAATCTAAAAAAGTTTTGCACGTTTTTTAAGATTACACTTTGTTATTATTTTCATAAAATTTAGATAGAAAATATAATTTTATTTTTAGTAGAATTTCTAATACGACAATGAATACAATTTTTAAACCAAAAATGGAAAGGAAAAATGGATCATCTTATTAAAGACATTATATCACGATTGCGTAAAAAATCTACCTTGAAATTTATGATAAAAATCATAAACTATATGTTATAAAAACATTAAACTATATTGTGGTTATGAATAGTAAATGATGGTAGTTTTTATTTTGAGTTTTTAATTTTAATTTTTGGGTTTTGGATTTCAACTTTTAGTTTTAGTTTTCAGTTTTTGAAATACTTATAAATTAAAAAGAATCGACATTTTTATTTTTACTTGATTTTTTCACAAATTTTTTTACAAATTTTAAAAAAATTATATATTCTGATTGTCAAAATTTGTTTTTAATTTTTAAAAACTCCAAAAATTCAATCAATTCACCCTTAATATTTAAACTTTAGATCCAAAATGGTGGAAATGCAGATGGGAATTTTCATCCATGCTAATTGAGCCCAATGGTAATGTATATTAGGTCCATAATGGTTGTCTCCACCCATCATCACAATGGTTCTGTTTTATCTCTAATGGGCTTTTGAACCAAAGGTAAATACTTGTAAATTCTTTTTCGATAAGATAAAATTATTTTCCTTTTGTCCTAATTTTTTTCCACATTTTCATACGAAACAAATATTTATTTATTATATATTTAACTTTCATGCTAATGAAGACACAGTTTAACCTCCAATGTTATCATTATTTAAATATTGATGACATTCCTCTAAGATTTCCGGACTTCTCCAAGACAAATAAATTCAATAGTATTAAAATTTATTGAGAAAATTGTGAATATTTCTCTCTTCTTTCCCCAAATTTACATGATTTTTTAATTAATTTTACAATGTAATCAATGTATTGATTGTAATTATACGATTAAAATTGCAATGAGAGGAATAGTTGATATTAGGCAATTTGTTTTTGTTTTTTTATCTGCCATTTCAATCTCATTATTATTATTCTAATTTTGATATTATTATATTTTTTAATTTACATTTTTTCTAATCTTAGTGTGATCATCGTTTTAATCACATTATCACTCCGTGAAAATTATTTAATTTCTTTTAAAATAAATATTTACAAAATTTGTATAAATATATCTATGAATTATATAAAATTATAATTTTCAAACCTATTTTTAGATTAATTCTCTAGATTTACAAAACAATCCTTTTTGCTTTTATTGTTTCATTTCTTGCTAAATAGATTTAAATATATACTTTAAGAATTGAACTAAGACTTGGATTCTATTTAGATTTAATTTTAATATTTCAACATTTAATATTTATACTTCTTAAACATAGTCGGTTTGTTTTGTTATAAATTCTCTTTATCATATTGAACATATTATATTTCCCTAATTTGGTGTATCTTGTTATAAACTCTCGCAAATAATACAATATTTGTCATGGTCGTTGTTTTGTTATGTTGAGAATTTTAGTTCTTGTGTGATGATGTATAATTAATGTGCGTAGAGATAATACAATTGTTTTAATTTAAAATTATAATGTAGAGATAAACAATTGTTTTATTTTAAAATTATAATGGCTCAAAACCATAAGTTTAAAATGACTTTGTAATATTTTTATTTTCGTTACACTTTAACGTTTAAGACGAAACATTTGTTTAGTATATAAAAATTGTGTGAAACATTTAATAAAAAAATAATAGAAAAAGAGTGTCATATTTATCTTGGTTTGAATTAGTAAAATAAAATAATGTTAAGTTCTAAATATAATATGTAATTACTCTTGTTTTTCTGATGCATCTTAAGTCGATAAGAGTACTCTTGACACCTACACGTGACGACCAACCTGTGCAAAATAATGTCTCATCGTACCACTACAACAATTACTATTTTAGTCGGATCGAAAAATTAGTTAATTATATTATCTTTACCCTTTAACTAACATATTGGATTTTACTTATTCTAAGAGAAAATAAGTGTTAAAGTTGGTTATGTAAAGGTTGTTCACACAAGGAATGCGGTTTCATTTTGAAGTTAATTTGTTCATTAAACAGTTATGTATAGTATTCAACTGAAGAAAACTCATAAAAAATAGTGTCTATCATTAAATTTGTGCCGCATGGAAGGATGACTCTACCTCTATTCTATAGATGATCACAATCAAACTTCACAATTGATAAATAGTTTCGATAAAATTAGACATTCCATGAAAATAGTTTCATCGAATTCTCATTACACTTTCAAACAATAGTAAATATGATACATATTACTTTTTTTACACATTTTTTTCATGGTATAAAGATCTCTTTAATATCATTGTTTAAAATGTCTTTTCACATTTGTTTCAAAATAATATTGACATCTAATACTTTTGAAATACTTTCCAAACACTTTCCTATCATAGATGAAAAATAGTTTCAAACAAAACACTATATACCAACACATTTTATCCGTAAGAATCTCTATTTCGTCGAAATTCATAGTGTTTTTTTAATCTAAATTCATAGTGCTCTATTCCAATCTGCAATTCTGTTGGTGCATCACATTGCTAGACAACCACACGATGTTCCACATGATTCATTCACGACTTGGCATTAGTATTTTGCTATCCTACACAAAGATCGATTGTTACATGTGCACTACAAAGAGTTCTATAAACATCAAATAAAAGTATATTAAATGAGCAATTGTGACAATGAGAAGTATTTGAAAAGTTTCCACCATTCAACTCAAGAAATTGTTTCGAATTTTTCTATATTTTTGTATATTAAATGATTGATTGACTTAATCAAGATAATATATATTTGAAAATATGTGTAAATTATTTTAAAGAGGAATCAATTTATCACCATCACAAATAAAGATTTTAAATACACAATATATATAAAGTGATAAAGCTTGCAACTTGTTATTCTTCTTCTTTTTTAATATGATACAACAAAGGAGTAATATTTAATTAGAATATATCTTGTTGGATGATGATGTATTATTACCACAATCATCTAAATCCAACTTATATATATATATATATAGATTTTATAAAATATCATTGATAGAAATATAATAAAATTTGATATATATACACATATAAAGTTAAATTATATTAGTAAATCATTATATATATATATATATGAAGAAATGAAAGAATAAAAATATCATAATATTATTATATTAAAAAATTATTTTTATATATATGTTGAACATATTTATCAACGATTTGTTTTCAATATCTTTATTAATAAATGTTGAGAACTAGTTTATATTCATGATATTCATGTTGTATTCTTCTATGTTTATTAATAAAATATGTTTATTAATAAATATTTTATTCTTCTATCTTTAAAAAATAATAAAATAAAAAATGAATAAAAATAATATTTTTAATAGTATAGTAAACAATTGTGTTAAAACTTATTTATATTCCTGATATTCAAATTTTTAATGATTTTCAATTGTGCATCTATATAAATTTATGTAGATAACACATGATTCTTTAAAAATGTTACTTAGTTTATGTAAAATTGATATTATTTTAAATATGAATATATTAGAAATATACTATTTTATATGATATTAATGATTATCATCGATAAATTTTTTATTTATAACAATGTTTGTTTATAACATTTTTTCTGATATTCAATTTATCAATTTGTGAACGTAATTTTACCTCAAGACATCTTTATTAAAGTTTACGATATTGTTGCTATTTATTTAGATAAAAATTATAAAGAATTTAAAATTATGTATATTTCAACTTAAACACAAATCAAAGAACTTGCAAGACAGGTCAATCCGTTAAGAAACCTAATATTAAACGGAAAAACATTACCACTCTTGAAACAATTGTACATCTTAAAGAGAGATCAAGATAGCTTTTATATATTTTGAGATTGATTTTTCAAAGTAATGATTAATTCTATTGTTGTTGCTCCCATGAGAGTGATTTTTTTAAATAAAAATTAAGTCGAATCAATTTTAAATAATTTGCTTTCAAATTTGGTTCAATTTTTACCCATAATATTCGAATTGGTTTTAATGATGATAACTCAAGAATCGTGACGTGTAAATTTAAAAACGACACATAATTATATATTTTTTCGATGTATAATTAAATATGTGCGAGCATCAAATTTTATTCAATCGATTTTAATTCATCATAATTCCTTCTTATTTTATAGCAAATTTTACATAATCCTCATCTTATTTCTTCCCATTTGAATAGAAAAACAATAAAAATTATCTTAATTAGTGGCTTAATCACAGATTTGCACAAACTCACATGAAAAAAATTCCAACAACAAACACATTTGAAAATCGCCAAATTTAATTAATTAACGTAACATTACTTCTATCATCCTAATTTATTACAATCTTAAAATACAAAAAACCCCAAAAAAAAGAAAACAAAGATAATCAAGTAAAAACTCTATCATACGACATCAAGGACAAAACTCCTCGCCGAATCTCCACAATCTGCAGCTCTAAACATCTTGGAAGAGGCTTCGAGTTGACACGTCATCTTTCCAACACATTCCTTGATGACAAGTTTCAGAGCATCCTTATCTCCTTTGCATGTTCCTCTGGTAAATGGTCCACACTTTTACGTCTGATTACCGAAATTGACGAACTTAACATCTGAAATATTCTTGCCATTGCAAGAAAGCTTAACCATGTTATTCTCATC